ACAGGTAATACAGGTGCACCCTTATTCTGCCTGGGGTCTCCCAAAGTCATTATGCCAGAGTCATGCAGGGGTTCACAGGGAGCGGGGTGGGGGCATTTGCCAGCAACTCAGGGCTGTCTACCTCACTGTACTGCATACGGAAATGGGGTCCCCTCAGAGACCCCAGGATGAGAACACGCCTACTGTCCCAGACATGTATCGTGTCCCAGGGCAGAGGAGGTAACTGGTGCAGCCAGGGGCCTGGGCACCCCTGTACAGCTTCCCCAGGAGCCCCACATTGAAGGCCCTGTGATTCTACTGCTGTGCAAGGGGTCAGCTGGTGTGCAGGGGGCAGCTGGTGTGTGAGGACAGTGGGTGTGTGAGTAGCTGGTGTGTGAGTGTAGCTGGTGTGTGAGGACAGCTGGTGTGTGAGAACAGTGGGTGTGTGTGGGCAGCTGGTGAAGGGGGGCAGCTGGTGTGTGAGGGCAGTTGGTGTGTGAGTGTAGCTGGTGTGCGAGGATAGTTAATGTGTGTGAATAGTTGGAGGGGTGTGTGTACAACTGATGTTCAGGGGCAGCTGGTGTGTATGGGGGACTCCAGTTTCATCAAGACTGCTCATGTTTTCTTTGCAATCAGCTTGCTGTGCCACATCAGTCCCACCAAGAAATCCTTACGAGTATATTCTCATCAATAAACCCTCTTTAGTAAATCCTTGAAGACTCTTTACCCTAGGTACATACTATCTTCAGCTGTGGCCCCTCAATTGCACCCCAAAGCTCCTGCTCCCTCAGTATCATCCTGACATCCTTGGTGTCCCCAGTTCCACCCCACAATCTGTTATTGCTGTTAGGAACTGTTGAGGCAAATATGACTCTGTGAACAAAAGATCTGAACCCTGTCTTATTCTGTGCCATCCCATCATCTCTGCATCATTGCTGTAGTCATGGTATCAATACGTCTCATTAAGGGTCCTTCAATCTTTTACTAATCCTCCACCTTTCCAAGCATAATACCCCTTTCCAAGGAATAGCTTCTCTCAGCAACATGCCCGAAGTATGAGAGATAACGCCTCCAAGGACCACTCTGGACCATGTCCTGAGTCAGGCACACCTTAGTCTTCAAACTGGTGTCAAAGCTCCTTAGTAATTTGGAGAGGTCCCTGACTGCAGAATTTCCCAATGCAATAAGTCTCCTGATCTCTCGACTGTTGGTACCAAGTGTATTGGTTATGGATCCCAGTAAGATGAAGTCATTGACGATGTTGTCTTTTCTCCATCCAGCATCTTCGGCTTCTAAAGGTGCACATCTGGCTCTAGTGGCATCTCCTCTCTCACTTCGAGAGCGGTCTAATCTTGTCAGCACAGCTTATCTGACAGCTCCATCCTCACCTCCGAAAGGGTGCCGTATCCCCTGCTTTCCACACACACATGGCCTCCTCTTCCTCCCCTGATGAAAGTGAGCCAATCTCTGCTCCTGTTATCACACCTGGCCTCGAGTAACCTCTGCCCCCACCTGTGGTGACTGTGGTCCAGTGTTACCCTGCAGCCCTCCCAGTTGCCCCTCAGTGGGGCCAGTGGGCCAGCACGTCCTCTTCAGGTGAGCTGACAGGTGACTGTGAGTGCCCAGTGAAGGACACAAGCACAGGCTCACTTGTGGTCACTTACTGCCCTGCTGTGAAGACTTCCCTGGGGCCTCACATCTTTGAGGTGGTGTCAGTTCTGATTCCTAGCTCACCTTCCACTGGGTTTCAAAGGCTGTGAATCCCACGGTAGGACACTGCCAAGTTCTGCCTCGGAGCCGCAGTGGGTTTGAATGGCAGAGACTTGCAACCTTTGCATTGGTGGCACAACTTGCTGAGGGCTCTCAGGAGACAAACCAAGGACGCGCGAATTAGTAAGGGTGCAGGAGGACCTGAGCTCCCCTGACCTCCTGGGTCCTCGTTCCACCAGGACTATCTGTGTGAAAAGGGGCTTTGAGTTTGTAGAAGGTGCTGAAAGTGGGGAGAGGGCCAGGCACCAGTCAGACCTGGAAACAGAGTCTTCACTGAGGTGGGATGCAGCACTGTGACTACAGGCCAGTGATGAAACAGGTCACTGGGCTTACTTCACTGAGGCGTCTGACACTGTGTCCATCCCAGGGCTCCTGGCATCATGGCCACTCAGTGGCTGCTTGACCTTGTGTTCATCCCAGATGCTGCCTGACCTGCCTGCAGGGCCCTGCTGACAACCTGGGCTCTTTTCTCAGCCTCCAGGATGCCAAGAGGGCACAGTTTTGGTCTTGAAATTTGTACGCTCATCACTACATCATGTGCCCTTCTTTCTTGCTGGCTCTGAATGTATGGACACCCCTTGTTGATGTGAGCAGCCTTGGCCTGTCCATGGGTGTGGAGCCAGGCCAGGCTCCCGTCCACTTGCCATAGCTCTCCCTCTCCCTCTGTCCAGGGACCGTCATGAGGAGGCAGGCTGGTCCCTGGGACAGCAGGACCAGCAGGGTCCAAATGACAACTGGCCACAAACCTGCAGCCTTCCCTACTAACCTGCCACCTTGAGCATCCTGGTCTAGGGGCCTCAGCAGCTGCCCTCAGGACCATTGTTCTGGACTGAGGCAGCAGGAGGTCAGCTGAGGGACAAGGGATGCCCCAAGGTGGTCCTGGGCTGGAGAAGGGAAGGGGCATCTCACCGCCGGGTTGGAGACCCTGAATCTCCCTTCCTTGTTCTTGTCTGCATCTCTTTCAACCCACGCTAAGGCCTCCCAATAGGGGATCTTTGAGATCTGCAGACTGAAGCATCGGTAGAGCCCCTGTGCTTGGCTGCTGAGGGGACGACACCCCAAACCTCTCAGGACTGGAAGGCCTTCCCCAGAAGCCGTGCAGCAGAACTGGCTTGGTTCTTCCCCACCCGCTAATGGAAACCCGGTGATCCATGACCAGGTACAGACATCTGCTCCAGGGAACATGGTGGGAATGTACATATCGATGATCAATCAGCGGATTTGCAAGAGAGGCATAAGGTGTTTAATTATAATTGCGTCGAGTGGGTAATGGCGGCGACATTTGAATAGGTCACAGCCAATCCCCACCCTGTTATGTTGTTGGTATTAAATGCCACTCATTCTCAGGCTGGTAGCCGTCCTGAAGTCACCAAGAAAATTGAAAATGTCCCTTTGCTTTTAAAACATGATTGATATCCTTTGCGAAACGAATGTCACACCTGGGTGTTCGCAGCCTTCATGGTGCCGCCCTCCAGCCTGCTGCAGCCAAGCACATAACGCACAAGTGTGCAAACAGTGCCAGGGCCCATGGTCTCTGAACCAGGCTTCTAGGGATTGTGGGGGAGTGCAATTTAGATCTGCTCTCTCAGGAGCAGAAATGACATCCCTGCAGTAATCTACCTGCCAAGTCCACATGGCCCTGTCCTCTGCTTCACCTCCTGGCTGTCTGAAGCAGCCCTGCTTGGAACAAGATTTTCAGTGAGGATGACCAGAGGTATAAATGCAGGAAACAGGGGCATGACAGACACACGGCCATAGGCCATGCACCTGGGCATGATGGTATTCCTGGTGCCCTGGGAGATGAGGACCAGGACCACATGGTTGGGCCATGACTGGGGCCTGGCCCACCTGTGACACTAAAGGAAGTCAAACATACTGCACTTGAATGAGCCCAGCTCACAGCCGCCCTCCGCAAGGCCAGCGAGAGTCCATCTTCATGGGAGGGGCTGGCACGTTCCCCCAGACAAGCGACGGGTGCATCCAGACCTCCATTCTTGACATTAGCAGCCGGCCCACTGACCCACAAAGTAGGCCCCAAACAAACACCGCTCCTCGATCAGAGCTGGGGACATAAGAGGGCAGGTGACAGCTGAACTGAGCAGAGAAGAGGTCCACCTCCAAGTCTCTTTCAGAGAGGGTGCTTGCATTTACACCCTCCTCTCTGGCTTTCCTGAAGGCCACAATCTGCAGGACTTAAGTGGGCAGTCAGGGACCTCGCCATGGACACTCCCCCCAGAGCTTTGGGGACACTCAGAAGGGATCAGGCTCCCTCCTAAAAGCAGCTGAGGTGTTCCTCTTTCCAGGGCAGGCAGTTTTGAGAAAGGCAGGCCCGTGGGAGCTGAGGCGAAGCCAGGTGGACCTAAGGTGACCGCCCTCCTCCCCACACCCCGCCCCTCCCAGCAGCACCCTTCTAGCTACACAATTTGTTGTCACCTAGTGGATCGGATTAGGTGTAGTCTATACTACTGTTCAAATTGTAACAAAAACAAACAAACAAACAAAAAACAACCCCAAACAATTAACTGCCAAAACCAACAAAACACAGGCTCCTGAAGAGCCCAGGTTGGTCTGAGGCCTCACTCGACTTGATGTGCCTGCCTCTCTTGGTGGTGTGATGAAATAATTTATATCTCAGATGGCGATGTAGCTGTGTCCTTAATAGTGAGTCTCAACACCCAGGAACCCCATCAGAGCTGCTCTCTGGAGCTGAACCAGATGAACTTGAGCGAGTAGGGGTTCCTGCCTGTGTAGAGGAATCCAGAAGAGTGGGTCGATGGCTCCCACATTGCCCCCAGACTCCTCCCTCCCCTTGTCTTTCCAAGGAATCTCTTAAACCATCAACAAATATTTTAGCGACAACACAAGATATATTTGTCTCATCGTCCATAATACAGCCACAGCTGACTCCCCAGAGGCTGCTGGGATCTGGCCGGGTCCCCTGCATTTCCGCTCTCTGCTCTTGCAGGTCTCAGATGCCCTCGGTTTACAGCCGCCCAGGTTCTCGAGGAGGAGAGAACTTCAGAGTGACTGTGTGTGGCCCTGGCCCTGGGGGGGTCCTAACAGAAATGGAGAGTCCAGCCGGGCCCATCCGATGGGAAACTTGTGAGCGGGGCAGGCAGCACAGTGGCCACCAGTGGGGGGGGGGGGGCTGCACTGTCTGGGTTCAGAGCAGGGTGGAGGCCAGTGCTGTCAGGACAGGTCTGCTGAATCTTGCTATCCTTGGCATCAGGAGACCATGTGTCCCAGAACCTTCACATTGCCCACAAGTGGAGGTCCGTCTGCTGGGCCTCTCGCAGGCGTCTGCCCTCCAGCTTGGGGTGGGGTGCCCCAGGCCCGGGAGAGGACAGGATATAGTCGATGCTGAACTTGAGGTCCGCGTGTTGGGCCTTGCCCAGCGCGGAGGGGCTGCGGCGGGCCGGGCTTGGGGACGTGAGATCGCAGGCCGGCGGGGCCTGACCGCCAGCTCCCTCGGGGCTGCCCGCGCCCTGCGCCCGGACCCCCTCGCCCTCGTCCCTGGATCCCCGCTTGGGGCCACGCCGCCGGCGCCGCCGCCGGAAGTTGCCATTTTCAAAGAGGTCCAGCAGCGAGTCGCAGCCGCCGGCGAACGTCCAGTAGTTGCCTTTGCCTTTCTCATTGCCCTCAGCCCGGGGCACCTGGGGGCGCAGGGCGCGGGGCTCAGCGCACGCTGGTCCCCAAAACGCCCCGTGGCCTGTGCGCGCGCACCAAGTGGGAAGCCCCTGACGCCACGCGCTCCCGCCCCTCGGGTGTGGCCCCTCGGGGCGGCTTGACTTCTCGGGGGATAGTGTCCAGCGGCCGCGAGGCCACAGCCCTCCCTCCGCTGTCCACGGGCGGCAGGCGGGCGCTCACCTTGACAAAGCAGCTGTTGAGTGACAGGTTGTGGCGGACGGAGTTCTGCCAGGCGCGCTGGTTGGCGCGGTAGTAGGGGAACTTGCGCATGATGAAGTCGTAGATGCCCGCCAGGGTCACGCGGCCCTCGGGGTTCTGCTGGATGGCCATTGCGATCAGCGCGATGTAGCTGCGAACAGTCGGGTTTCCACCGCGGCCCGCGGCTCCGCGCTCAGGCGCCGGCTACCGCCCAGCGCGCCCCGCGGCCCTCCCGCCCCAAGACCCGCGCGATGAGGGGAGGGGTCGGGAAGTGTTCGGGGGACCCTCTGCCCGCTTCCCCCTGACGCTGGAAGTTCCTTCCGCTACATTTGAAGGTGCCCTCGGAGAGGCGAGGGAACGGTCCCGGCTGTTCTCGAACGTGTGACGCCACCCTACTCCTTCCTTGGGCCACCCTCGGCCCCACGCAGACCCGCAATCACCTGTATGCGGGCCTCGTGAGCCGCTTTTCCTCGTCGGAGCTGCCGGCCGGGAAGTCCTCGGCGTCGTAGTTGAAGCAGTTGTATGGGTATTGGGAGCTGTCAAACATCTCTGTGCGCGGCCTCTTCCACGCTGCCCGCCAGTCCTGACGCCACGGGAAGCTGTGACCGCAGACCTCCGCGTCTGCTCTGCGCCAGAGCAGACAACCAGGGTTCCTGGGGTCCCCCGCCTGCCCCACCTCGCTCTCCAGTATCCAATCCCGGCTCAGGGAGGCCCCAGCCACCGGTGACAGCAGCACTGGAGGAGGGGAGGCTGGGTTCCAGGTGACCCCCTGACCAGCGGGGGTGGGGGGAGGAGTGAGAAGGGGTCCGATGGGCGGGGCAGCCTTGGCTTTCAGGTCCCCTCTCCTTTTCAGGCTGCGCAGACCCCAGAGAGCGAGTTTCCTGCTGCTGCGCGCCCTAGGTGCACCTTACACGCCACGGGGCTTCTTCCCTGGGCGCCTGGGTATTTGCATGGACACCAGCTCTCATCCACTGCCAGACCCCAAACAGCCTCTTTCAGACCCAGAGCAGTTTGGTAAAGGCTGGGTGTTTAGGGTGAGAATGGGGCATGGAGTCAGGGCCTGAGGTGCAGGGTGAGAACTGGGGGTGTGGGGCCAGGCACTGCTGGGGCCCCAGATGAGAACTGAGTTTCTGTCATCTCATCTAGCTTTCCCTCCAGAGGATCCTGTGCCCCTGGCCCGTCCTATACTGCTCAGAACGTGGCACCAACCAGAGCCAGCGGTTTGGGCATGTCCTGCAGCCCCGCCCTGTGCAGGGACAGAGCTCCACCTGGACATTAGACTTTCCACCTCCGAAGGCTTCCATCACCAGGACCCTTGTTCCCTGATAGGATCTGTGGGAGGAAGGGAGAGAAGAGGGGAAGGAAGAAAGAGATGAGGAGAGGTAGGGTGGGGAAGATGGGGGAAAGGGAAGGCCAGGGGAAGGGAGAGGTCTAGCAGTACTTTCTGAGGAAAAGAGCTGCCCTTAAAGGTCTCCTCTGGGATTGCTGCTGTAAGACATTGCAGAACCTGCAGAGTTCCGACTGGACTCCTTGCTGCTTCTCTGGGGACCAGGGACTTCATCCAGAAAGTTCCCCTTGAAGCAGAGCCCTGGGTATGAGACCGAGTGGTGTCCTCCTGGGTCTCCCCATAGGCTCTGTGCTTTGTGATGCACCTGGCTGTGCTCTATCATCAAAATTAGTAACTCAATAAGAACAAAAAACTGTGCAGCTGGCCATGTTGATGCCACCTCTGCCAGTGTCTCCAGTGTGACACTCCTCAGAGCCCTATAGTTATTCGCTCACAACTCCTTGAGAGTCTGCAGTGGTGACCAGCTGTGATGTTCTCTACAGATGCTGACTGTTCTTGGGGCCTCTCTCTGTGTCATCATCTGTGCAGAGATGCTGAGCTTCACAAACACAACCAGACAGAGCCACACAGCCCTGGTCCCTGTGAATTTGTGCCCAGGAAGGTGGAACCCCGACTCCCAGCCCTGCACCATGGCTTCTCCACTCTGCTCACCCCTCCTCTCTCTGCTTCTCCCACAAACCTTCTCAAAGCTTTGCTTGTTGTGTGGACCTGAGGACCAAAGTCCTGGGCTTGTCCTTTCAGGAGCTCGAGGTCAGCCACCACCTGAGATCTAGTGGACACTGGTAGATGGCAGACATTTCTGATTGGTGAGTGTGTGTGTGAGCTGTCCATGACCATAACTGGACCATTCACACACATACACATTTTTTGAAAAAAATCTCGATAATATAATAAAGGTTTAGCAGATGTTGTTAGGTGCTGTTCAGTCACCTGTAAGCCATAGCAACTGTATGTACAGCAGTTCTGAACCCTTTCCTGTCCTGAGCCAGTCTCACTAATTCTGACACACCCACCACCTACATTGCCCCAGTTACTGTATCAATCCATCTCTTCTAGGGTTTCCCTCGCCTAAGCTGTCCCTACACCCTTCCAGCATGATGTCCTTCTCCAAGGAGCAGTCCTTCCTGGCCACGTGCCCAAAGTATGTGGGATAGAGCTTCAAAATCCTAGTCTCAAGGAGAAACTTAGTGATACCCTCTGCAAGACAGATCTATTTGTTCTCTTGGCAGTCCATGGTATGATTAAGACTCTTCTCCAGCACAATTCGAAGGCATTGATTCTTCCTCTGTCACCCTAAGTCGTTGTCCAACTCTCTGATGTATAGCAAGTAATTGCAAACGCCGTGGCCTGGATCAGGTGCGCCTTAGTCTCTAGACTGACACGTAGGAGAACTGCTGTGAACTGTCAAGGCAGAGCTGACTCATAGCTGTCCCTTCAGTGGGTTTTCAGTCGTTAAATCACGGGGGAGGAGATTGCGTACCTTTCTCCTGAGGAGTCGCTGGTGGGTTTGAAATGTTGCCCTTGGTCTTGCAGTGCAGCTCCCTAACCCTAAGCCACAATCCCTCTGTGAGAACACTGTACTGTCATGTGCCATCAAGTCACCATAGCGACCCTGTGTACAATAGCTCTGAACCCTGCTGTATCCTGAGCCAACCTTATGTTCTGTGACACACCTACCCCAATTACCCTAATCACTGAGTCAGTCTTATCTCACTGAGTGTCTCCTCTCTTGCCTTGTCTCTCCACCCTCCAAAGCATGACTGGCCCTGCCTTGTAACATGCCTAAAATGTGTCAGATGAAGCTTCTGAATCCTTGCCTCGAAGGACCAGACTGGTCTCACCCTCTCTAGGGCGAACCGGTTTATTCTCCTGGCAGTCCATGGAATATTTAATACTCTTCTCTAGCACCGCAGCTCAAAGGAATCAATTCTTCTTCTATCATCCCTAGTCATTGTTCAGCTTTCTGACACATAGCAAGTGATTGCAAAGACCATGACCTGGATCAGGTGCACCTTAGTCTGCAGACTTAAGTTATTGTTCTTCAGTATTCTGGAGAGGTCCCTGACAGCAGACTTCCCAGGGCAATTAGTCTTTTAATTTCCTGGCTGCTGGTACCAAGAGTGTTGACTGGGGAGCCAAGCAAACTAAAGCTGTGAACAATCTCAATCTCTTCACGATCTATCATGATGCTGCTAATCAGTCCAGTGGTGGGAATCTGTGTTTTCTTGATGTTGATTTTCAATCCATATTGAAGGCTGCAACCCTTGACCTTCTGCAGTGTTTCAGGTCCTACTCAAGCAAGCAAAGTTATGTCATCTGAATAATGCATATTATTGATGAGTCTTACTCCAGTACTGATGCCACATTCCTCCTCACTGAGTCCAGCCTCTCAGATGACCTGTTTGTATATAAATTGAAAAGGTATGGAGATAGAACACATCTTTGTATACCCTTTCCAGTTTTAAATCATGCAATGTTTCCTTGCTGTTCTGACAACTGCCTTCTGGCCCAAGTATAAATTTCACGTAAGTGCAGTCAAGTGTTCTGGGATTCCCATTCTTCTTTGTTGTGTTCCACACAGTCAAATGCCATTGCATAGTCAATGAAACACAGACATTCCTTTGGTCCTCTCTGCTCTCAGCCAAGATCCATCTGACATTAGCTATAATATCCCTAGAACCACAGCCTCTTCTAAACCCAGCCTGCACATCTGGCAGTTCTTTGTTACTGTACTGCTCCAGTCGTTTTTGGATCATTTTTAGCAGAATCATGCTTGCATATAACGTTAATCATAATGTTCGATAATTTCCACACTCTGTCGGGTCACCTTTCTTTGGAATGGGAACAAATATGGATCTCTTCCAGTCAGTAAATGAGCAAAAATGATTGATGGCTGACAGGGCCCTCCAATTTGCAGCCAAGCGCTCTGACCACAGTTTCACAGGCTCCTGCAGCCATTGCTCTTGTACCACAGAGTCAGAACCAACCCACAGCTGTTCCTCCGGAGGGTTTTTAGAGGCAGTTAATAGCACAGGAGGTGACTGCCCCTCTTTCTCCCTTGGAGCAGCTGATGGCCTCGAACTGCATGCCTTCGTGATTGCAGTACAGCTTCTTGCCTCTAGGCCAGCAGAGCTCACCTGTAGCCATTGCTCTTATTGCTCTTATTGGTCTCTGCGGCTAGTCTGGGGAAGTCACACTGCTCACCCAAAGACTGTGCTTTTCTGATGGTTGGGATCCTGGGGAGACTCAGAAACCCGATGGAGGCTCACCTGTGAGTTGGTTCCGACTGGATGGCAGCGCATTGATGTGGACTGATGGGTTCTGACTCCTCCTGACCCTGTGGGACAGAGTAGAACATCTCACAGGACTTTTTCCAGCCTTTGATCCCCACAACAGCAGACTTCCTTTCTGCAGAGCTTCTGGAGGCTCGAACCGCTGGTCTAGGAGCCAGCCACACACATGGCTGAGGGCTCTGCTGCCGACGACAGTGTTTGGTGGTGGTTGTTGTGTACCATCAAATCAGAACCAACCCAGAGCCGACCTTCCAGTGGGTTTCTAGAGGCAATCAGTTTGCACAGGAAGAGACTGCCCGTCTTTCTCCCACAGAGCAACTTGGGATCCAAATCATGTGCCTCTGGATTGGCAGTGCAGCTACTTACCACCAAGCCATCCAATCCCCCTATCCAGTGTTTTAGGGGCCAGGAGATTCTCCAGGAAGCACATGCTGAGTGACAGTGTGACTCACAGCTCGCTGCTGCGCATGCAGATGCTGCAGACGCCTTTGAGGTTTAACGCTGCTGCAGAGTCACATGAATGGAACCCTGATTTCCTGACTAATGTGGAGCCAGTTCACAGCACTGCTCAGGGCATAATTGGCCGAGGGAATACGAGGGAGACAGAGAAAGTGGATCAGAAGACTTTGAATGTCCCTGGATTTCATATGAGTAGAATGTGAGGGTCTGAGGCACCACTGGGCAAATGCTTCCTAGGTTGAAGTCAGTGCACAGACTCCTTGAAGGAGCGAACATAAGAATGGGGAGGGGGAGATCTCTTGATGAAAGCTGGTAGCATGCCCTTGGCAGAAAACAGCCTTTCCTGTATTTTGGCTTTTGCATGGACACCCGTAGAAAGGAGGATGGCTAGAGATACAGACCTGCAGACTGAGTGAGCTGTGCACAGTGGTGAGCCTTGCCATTCAC